TTATCACAATCGGCCACCCGGTTCCCATACTACCCACAAATGCACACCACTAGTGGGTTCATGTATTACTTTGACCCTGTGCGTACATTTACAAACTTTCGTCGGGGGAAATACGCTTATGACACTCATCAGAAATGGAGTTTATTGACCTCACGTATGATGCCCCCAATTGTATTTAAGAATTTTAAAAATACATGTACATGGACGTAATTGAAGTCTTGACATTTTTATGAATGCATAGATATGTCAATCTCCATTTTTTTTTTACCCTAAAGTTGCTACATCTAATGTACGATCTAAATGCACTTACTTTAACATGTACATCAATAAATAAAGCTAAGGCATGGTTAACCTAGTACTGTTTCTTCAAACAAACTAAATTCTATTAATAAAAAAAACAATGAAAACTAATTTAGTTTACAAAGCATCGACTTTTCAGAAAGGTTTTTCTTTCAGTGGGATTTTTCAAGGTGTGTAAAGCACGTTTTGAAAACAGCTTGATTTCAGTTTGAGAAGGAACCTTTTTTTAAAGGGATGTTTGTTTTATTTAGTCAAATGACCAGAAACGAAAATTTGAAAGACAATGAAAAATATAACAGTGTTTGAACAAAGTAAATCGATCCCATTTGATAGAATGCGTATTTAGAAGTGCGGAATACTGTTCCAAATGTGATCTAGAATATAGTATCTAGAAACGTAAGTTGATATTCTAGGTTAGTAGTTTAGTGATGTAAAGTATACACATACATGTTTATTTCTAGGATCATGCACATGCGACGGCGGCAGAGACAGTTCTCAAATGTCCGCAATTTCAATAACAAGCTGCGGATTTAAGATAATCTGTCAATTATGGGGGAATTTTAGCCACTACATTTTGGGGCAATCTGATTTTTTTGACTGTTATTTCACCAGTTGAATAATACACACACGCATATTTCAGGGAAATATAACAGCGGTTTCAAGTTAAAAATGCAATCCCGTGCCATTTCAAGTTTCAACCCCCAAAACAGATTTTTTTTTTTTTTTTTAATTACTATTTTCCTAGCAATACAGGGCGAGTAAAAAAAAAAAGGAAACCCAAAATGGCGCCCCCTATTTTAAAAAAAAGTTCTGCATGTAGCACTTTCCAGATCTAGGATACAAAAGCCAGCTTTCTTTGAATAAACGGATCGTTCAAATCACTCGTGTACTTTTCAATGTTATGGACTTTTAGACACAAACACAGTTTTATAATGTCCACGGTTCACAATGCAGGTAAGTAATATTTCAGCAAAACAAAAACAATTCACATATCAAAAACATCATCAGAACACTCTCGCATAACCATGATACCTGGCACTCATCATAACCTTTATTCAAATACCTTCTGCTTCCAATATTAAAACAACGCGCTTTTATAATGTCCTGCCTTCTTCTACTTGTCTACCCGGTATTATTTCGATATCGTTTTCATGATACAACATGGTTTTATTTTGCTGAAATATCACAAACCTTAAATGTGATCTGTGGAATAATCTGTGTTTGTGTTCAAAATTCCACACCTCAAAAAGTACATGAGTGACTTGAATGATTCTTGTACTAAAAGAAAGCTTGTAAATTGGGCTTTTGTATCCTAGATCTGGAAACCGCTACATGCAGAACTTCTGCATAAAAATAGGGGGGGGGGGGATTTGGGTTTCCTGGTTTCTTGACTCACCCTGTATGGAGTACCAAAGTGAATAAGTCACGCGCACAAAATGCGTGTGAAAGACATTAGCGCGTGATTCAGCCCTAGAGCCAACACGCGCGTGTACTCCATTCGTTTGCACTACACTTTCTGGTAGTGAGTACACTTCGGTACTCCATGTAAAAGTTATTCACTTGCGGAAAAAAATACACTGAGGCTTTGTTAATGAACTGAATTTTATACGGCCCGGCAATAATCTGGCTTTCACAGGGCGGGATCATTTGTGCACAAAATCAAAGCCCCTTTTCAGTTTACTTATTAAAACTGCAAGGTTTTAAAAAACTTTTGATCGCTAATTCTGGATTACTGCATTCAACCTGTTTTTTTTCCCCCCAGTTTTTGGTACCTTCAGTGTGTCTTGCATACTTCATTATCTAAAGTTGGTCAAATTTAGCATTTTCAATGCTTCAAATTCCAGCCTTGGAAACTTGATCCCCCTTGTTTTTAGAACTGCCTCAACATAACTACAAAATTAATTATAACATCTTTTAAACGGAACTTATAAACCTGTACTTACTACACTCATTCAGTTGCATACTAAAAATCAGAAATTCCTACAAGCTGTACCTTGTATTTTACAATCTATGTTATAATCTTAATACTCCTTGAAGATATTATTACACAATTTACATTGCTAGCTAATCTAAACACTACATTTTTACTGATCTTCTTTTGTAAAATTAAATAATTGTACCCAATTATGCGCCAAAGACATGATAATCATAAATACTATTATTTAAAATATTTTGTTCGTTAAAATCAACCTGAAAAGACATAATTCATATTTATATTGGGGGGCAATTTTTCTGTAGCAATGTTGGCATGGTACATCATGTACATGTACATGTACGTGTACATGTCTGTAATACTTAATATTACCATTACACATTAACTGTACATTGTACGCTAGGGAAAAGATCTTTACTTTATTTGGCTGCTTGCTCTGAATTAACGGTAATACACAACATTTGCTTTTGCTGTAATTTTCAGAAATGGATGGATATGCGGGTTAGTATTTTATAGCAAATATTGTTTCACTGACCTGTTTTTTTTGTTAAGTTTTGTGTACATGGATGCTGGAAAAAAACCAGAAAAAAATGCTGTTCTTGTAGTCTAGTTCCCTGACCCTACTTCAGACAAAACAGAGTAATTTACAGACGTCAGAGAATTGTCAGGTCGGGGAACCAGACTAGCTGGTTGGCACCCGTTCATGGTTGTGCAACCGATTGCAAACAAAATGTGGACTTACTAAATCTGGTCTAACTAATTTCTAACCATCGTTGGAAATTGATACAAAAATTCCACTTTTCTTGAAAATGACAGCACACCAAGTGCCACGATTTCACAGGATGCTTTGAGACTATTATTCACATAGAGTCAAGTAAGGCATTTCATAATAATTTGGTTTTAGTTTTTTGGTGTTTGCAAATGTTGCATATTACATGTACCTTTAAAATAAGCAGTTTTCCCAAAGGAAAAAAAAAATCTTCAAGGAAATCTATTCCTTTCTCAGAACGTGAAAAACACACAAAAAAACCTCTGTAACAAAGCAAACATATTAATGATAACCTTCTAAAGTAATTTGAACTGTATTGCTCATTTTAGCTAACAATTTTCCTTCTTTTTTTCCAAAACTTTGGAAAAAAAATTAACCAAGAATACATTTCTACAATCCCATATGTAACTTCCCATCTCTTACAAAACAGATCTAAACTAAAACAGAAAACTATAAAAACAAATCTTGTTGCATAATAGTACGACCTGAAAGCCCACCTCTAGTACAGGGTGCATAAGAACTTTTACTTTTCCTTTCATTTTTCTTAAAAAAAAAAAAGGGCACAGGTTATCAAGACAGAACGAATCTGTGTAAACTTTCATTTTGCATTTTGGCTTTTTGCCAACTTCACCTCTCCTATTCTTTTGTGTGGTCTGTCCCCCCCCCCCCACCATTTTCCTATTCAGGACCCGCCCCTTCTCTTTTCCACTTGACTACATTGCATGTATGTCAACCGTACAGTTTGAGTTGTATGTTTATGAACACTCACAATATGCTACGCAATGTGCTGTACATGCTCTCTCTAAGTGCACTTTGTGTATGGATACAAATTACTGAATGTTAAGTGTACTCGTATGACTCATATGTTTTGTGCACCTTCTATTTGTGTGAAATGATTCACCTGAACGTGGAAAATTTACCGGGAAAAATTGTAATCACTTTGTTGCTAGGGCTGCGCGTTGTGGAATAATATAGTATTCGATTAATCGAGCTTTGGATTCAATCGGATATTCGGAATGCCGCTGATCAAGTTTTCCATGCGCTAGTCATGCACTGGTTGGGAACTGTGTCGGCCAATCAGGAACTGTATGTGCGCTGCCGGTTGAGATTTTTTTATAATAATTGTGCTTATATAGCGCTTTCCATCGTATCAATGATCTCAAAGCGCTTTACAATTATTACCCCGTTCATCAGGCCATGAGACCACGCGGCAGCCGATATCAGCGCTCAATCGGTCCTCGACCCTCACAGGTACCCATTTATACTCCTGGGTGGAGAGAGGCAATTGTAGTTAAGTGTCTTGCCCTAGGGCACAAACACCATGTTCCTGGCAGGGTTTGAACCCACGCACCTTCGTACACGAGTCAAACACTGTAACCACTGGAGATTTGCATGTGCTATTCGAGTATTAAACGTGCTACCGATCAGGATTTGTGTGCGCCCATCAAAAGCTGACGATGAGCTTAAAGGCAATATACAACATTTGCTCTGGCTGTAATTTTCAGAAATGGATGAATTTGGGGGTTAGTATTTTATAGCAAATATTGTTACACTGACCTGTTTTGTGTTCATAGATGCTGGAAAAAAACAAGAAAAAATATGTTGTTCTTGTAGTCTGGTTACCTGACCCTACTTCAAATGCAACGGAGCAATTTATAGACGTTGGGAAACTGTCAGGTCAGGGAACCACATTACACGTAGTTGGCTTGCACTCGTTCATGGATTTTAAACCGGTTGCAAACAAAATGTGGACTAACTAAATTTGATAAATTGGGGGTAGTATTTGGAAAAAGTCAGGTTTTTTTCCAATGATAGTCGGCCGACCATCGTTGGAAATTGATAGAAAAGTTCCACTTTTTCTAGAAAAGAACAGCACACCAGGTGCCATGATTTCACAGGATGCTTGAGACTAAAATTATTACAGTCAAGTAAGGTATTTCATGATAATTTGGTAGTTTTGTTTTTTGATGTTTGCAAATGTTGTATATATGTAGTACCTTTAACTGTAAGTAAGAACATTGTGTACGAATCAATATATTTTTCAAGGTAGCTGACTAGCAGATATTGAAAAGATGCAAACTTAAACGATTAAAATAATGTCGGTGACATTTGTTTTCATCTTCTCGAGACCACTCACAGTTTTGTGAATATTGGAATCGGAAATACATGTAAAACTATCCGGATATCCGTTATTCAAGTATTCGGTATATTCGACGCAGCCCTACTTGTCAAAATGCACCCATTTCAAAATGCAAACACCTGTTTTAGTACCTCATCCAATTGTGAATAATAATAAACACTAAATAGGGTATGTGAACATAGATTTGACCATGAAGGAATTTTTATTCCTTCATGATTTGACTGTGTAATAACCAAAAACAAATGGTTTACTGAAAGTCACAAAATAAAACATGGAATAGCAAGAACTGGTGTAATATTATTTCAATAGTTCTACAGTACCACTAAATAAAAAAACAAACATCTACTGTGAAGAGACTAGTTTTATTTCATCGTTGTGAAGAGCACGGCTGTGTTGTTTTCCGGATCTTTAAGCTGCCAGTGGTCTTCGGCGAGCTTCTCCGCTCCGATGGCCTGCTCGTTTGTTTGAAAGTACAAGAGGTGGTTCTCGCTAGCACGCGGGCTCAGGCCCTGGTAGAAGGCAAGGGTGAATTCCAGCCGGTTGGACAAGGGAAACGTGCTCCACTTGGCCGCCGCGCCGCCGTTCTGTTGCAAGGGGGAGACCCCGGTCACTTTGCCGTAAAAGGCCTCCATCTGCTGAAAGTCAGTGCCGCCTTTGACGAACAGCGTTACCCGGACGCCGGACGAGGTGGCGCCGGTCTTGACCCCCCACAGGGGCAGGCTGAGCGCGGCGTGCTGGTAGTACGTCGTGTTCTCGTCCTCCAGTTCCCTGGCGACCGGCTCCGGTAGTTGGTAGGGCTTCCACTGGTCCCCCGCGGACAGCACTTTGATGACTTCCACGGCGCGCGACTGGGCCCGGCCGCTGAACATGAGCGTGACGGCCAGGCGCGGAATGTCTCCTTGTTTGGCGTCGCCGGCGCTGCCGGCCGGGAATAACCTCTGGATTTCCAGGATGTTGACATGCTTGAAGGCACCGGAGAAGTTCCCAATGAAAGACGTCAGGGTGTCGCGGGTCTGGGTGCCTTGCATGGTCTCGATCTCCACAAAGCAGCGGGGTGGGTTGGTCAGTATAGACGCTGCAAAGAACAAAAGCAGACATTAAAGTCATGTCATTTGGTCATATACCTTTACCCTAACCGCCCTGAATCCTTCAAAATCCTCGTTGTCAAAGTGGAGGAATTTGGAGGATTGAGATTACATGGCAAAAGTGCATTACTGATTTCGAAGGATGCACTTTGTCAAGGTCTTGGGCCGGACCTTGTGTTGTTTTTGCTCAGCCATGCATAAATATAGGCCTGGATTATGCTTGAAATCCTCCGTACTGCTCCAGGATGTCACTGGCCAAGTCTCAACATATTGACAGTCACTGCTGTAGGATTCAGGCAGTGGTCACCCCTCCACGGACCATGTTCAAGAAATAATGGAGCAATTTGCAGGATTGAGGCTATGCTATTTTTCCATGAGGCCAATTGGAGGATTTTGCAGGATTGAGGCTACATCCCAGCAAAAAGGCCTAGAGAGTTAGGGTTAAGGCTTTTAGTAACCCATTGAACTATGTAGTTCTTGGCAGGTATTGGGTGGTAGAGAGAGAGTAACAGGCAGGGAAGTTAATAGTAGCGGGACTGCTGGATTGAATGGTAACTGCCTTTTAACTATGTTAATTGTATAAATCTAGTGAAGTGAATGGTACATAAAGATCATTTTTTTAAAATGTAACTCACGCTCAATGGCATTCACGCGGAATCCTTCACAGTTATCCAACTTCTCATCCAGGAACAACCTGCCAAACGTGTCGTAATCGTTGCCGGCTTCAAAGTACAGCAGGATATGCTGGGCATCCCACCTGCACGAAAGAAAAACAGAACCCAGCAACCATCAGCTCAATGTGAGTTCCTCTCGCTTGAAGATGTTAGTCTCGGTCCAAGATTGGGTTTGGATTTCGTTCCCTGTTTGCAGCCGGACCCTGACAAGATGAAGCAAATCCAGTCTCGGGAATTTTGGCACAGGGAGCCAAGAAATTCCCAGCATTCCTTACTGAAGTGCATTACATGAAGCTTAAAAATAATGTATGTTTGAGAAAGGTGTTTTTCACACCCTCCCCCCCCCCCCCAAAAAAAGCAAGCTTTAAAGTTTGGGGTATTGCTATTCTAATTGAGTTCACTCACACTGTTTTAAACTTCTGTTTTATTAATACATTTTATGAAAAGAAATTTCTTTCGACATATGGTTTTGACAAATTTGCCAGTTAACTCTAACCTTCTCAAATCCTCCAAAATCCTTGTTGCAAAATGGAGTATTTTACAGGATTAAGGCTGGCTATATGGCAAAAGTGTGTGGCTGATTTCAGAGGATGCACTTTGTCAAGGTCTTAGGCCGGACCTTGTGTTGTTTATTCTCAGCCGTGCATAAATGTAGGCCTATATTATACTTTGAAATCCTTCGCACTGCTCCAGGATGTCACTGGCTCTGCCTCAACCTATTGACAGTGCTGTGTGTGGCTGATTTTGGAGGATGCACTGTGTCAAGGTCTTAGGCCGGACCTTGTGTTGTTTATGCTCAGCCGTGCAGGAAGTCTACCAAATCCTGGTGTTCACAAAAACTCATTCTCACCTGAGCAACTGACAAGACGTTGCCTTCATCAACTTTTTGATGTGGCTCTCCACCTTGCCGACGCTGTGTTCATCCAGCGACTTTTTCTCCACGGTTACCAGCGCCAGGATACCGGGCCCTTCCTTGACAGACGACATCCTATTCCCCCAGTCTGTGTTCAACTGAGAAAGTAAAAAAGAAACAAACAAAAAACCAATAAAATATATTTGACGAATTTGAAACCTTTCAATCATACAATGAAGATACACGTACACGCTAGAATCAACATAAAATCACTGTAATGAAATCAATGTGGCATATTTTATTTGATTTATGTCTTGTTTGGGGTTGACCTTGAAATAAAATGTAAATTATTGAGGTACATTTTATCAAAAGCAATAAATGAAATATGACTGTTTTCATGAGAAAAAAAAATTAACCAGCAAAATATTTTGGTACAGAGAATGATACATACGTGTAAGAACATGAGTCATTTCCTATAAATTTTTGGGTCCAAAGAGTGACATTTTTCCTGTCCCCGTTACCTTGGTACTTTGTAATTTGCCATTTGAGTAAGATCATTAAGAATGACTTCAAAGAATTTTTTATTTGCTGGGTAGGTAGTTGTAGTGTGCTATTCATAATCACTCTTAGAGGGCGACTGCATTAACCCTAACTCCAGCATTTTTTCCTTTGATGCAACCTCAATCCTGCAAAATCCTCCACCTGCCTACATGTAAACAAATGCATACAGCCTCAATCCTCCAAAATCATCTGTTATTTCTTGAATGTGGTCCTCGGAGAAAAAACCACTGCCTCAATCCTGCAAAATCCTCCAGCAATCGCGGTCAATATGTTGAGGCAGAGCCAGTGACATCCTGGAGCAGTGCGGAGGATTTCAAGTATAATCTAGGCTTAAAGTTATGCACGGCTGAGCATAAACAGCACAAGGTCTGGCCCAAGACCTTGACTTAATGCATCGTCCAAACTTTGCCATGTAGCGTCAATCCTGCAAAATCCTCCATTTTGCAAAGAGGATTTTGGAGGATGTGGGAAAGTTAGGGTTAAAGAAGTGCACTACGTCCGGAAAAGCATGGATAACTTTAAATGTTCAAAGAAATGCATTTTTCAAAAAATTAATTAAAAAAAGGGATGTCAAATATTTTTCATATATTAAAGAGAAGTAGAAAATTGCACGAAATATTTATCGCATGGCCCCTTTAAGGATTGTACAAGAATTATAGACATCAGATGTAACAGGGACAGGAAAATATTGGACCCCAAATTTCTAGAATGACCCATATGTTCATGTTCACATTCGTACAGACATATCAGTTTAAATAAAAATGAGAAAGAAACACAGGGATGTTTGAAGCAACTGGAAAAACAGATGTCGCCATGAATGCACTGTGTGCAAATAAAGAGTCCTGTCTATGCGTGTCGGAAGTTCTTGAGCACAGACACAGCTGCAAATGACATTAGCACATGTACAATGTGCATGGGAATTCGTCTGGCATAATAAAGATGTGCAGTACATGTGTACAAAAATGTAAAGCACGCCTACAGTGCTTTGTCGGAAGTGAGTACATATGATTTAGTGATTCAAGGTCAAGTGTTATAAACTCACATACATTTTCAAACTCTCAGAAATTTTCCAAGGCTACTGTACATGTAATCACATCAGAATGATAAACAAAACTACAAACATGAGCAGTGTTCACACTAGAATTGTTTTGGGTTCTTAACATTCCTTAAACCCCCTTGACTGATTTATAATGTATAATAAGAACCTTTTTAATTCCTTATTCCTGCAAATTCCAACACCATACAGCAAACTCTACACGCAAACTGTTGGACTCTGATTATGGTGGTATGCCTGACCCCATGTAAAGCAGTTTACTACTAATACTAGTGCGGTACTCACTCCCACAGATTCCAACAAACCCTGGTGTTGGAATTTGACAGGTTGGGGATTGTTAGGGTTTAATTGATGGAGAAATGAGACTTGAAGAAGTGGCTTGGGGCTTAGGCCAAACAAATAATAATAATGCTGTGTTTCCGGCAACCCGACCGACCAAATTTTTTTGGATGCAGCGCCCTCAGTTGGCAGGAAAATTATGAAACATTGTAGATGTTTTAAAGTGAGCACTTTGCAATTTTTTTTAATTTTTTTTTTAACAAAACGGGATGTCTCATAGCTTTTATACATTTCAGAGGAATTGATATTTGCTACAAATACATTGTATGCTCACACATTTACAGACTGTACATGTAACATAAATTATTTGCAAATGTCATCAACCAAAACTACCAAATTATTATGAAATACATGTACCTTACTTGACTGTGAGTGAATAATAGTCTCAAGCATCCTGTGAAATCATGGCACCTGGTGTGCTGTCATTTTCAAGAAAAGTAGAATTTTTGAATTTCCAACGATGGTCAGCCGACCATCGTTGGAAAAAACTGACTTTTTCTCAAATACTGCCCCAATTTTACCAAATTTTAAATAATCTGCATTTTGTTTGCAATTGGTTACCCATCCTATAACGGATGCGCGCCAGCTAGTCTGGTTCCCTGACCTGCCAATTCCTTGACGTCTATAAATTGCTCCATTTCGTCTGAAGTAGGGTCAGGGAATCAGACTTCACGAACAAAAATTTTGTCCTGGTTTTTCCAGCATCTTTGAACACAAAACCTTTCAACAGGTCAGTGTAACAATATTTTCTATAAAATACTAACCCCCAAAATACATTCATTTCTGAAAATAACAGCAAAAAGCAAATATTGTATATTAGCTTTAAGTGACAAAAATTGGATATTTGATTCCGCTATTTTCAAGCATTAAAGGGAATATACAACATTTGCAAACATCGAAAAATAAAACTACCAAGTTTTTACGAAATACCTTACTAGGATGTTGGTAAATGACAGTCTCAAGCATCTTGTAAAATTATAGCACCTGGTGTGAAGTCATTTTCAAGAAAATGAAATTTTTGTATACATTTCCAACGGTGGTCGGCCGACCAGCGTTGGAAAAACCTAACCATTTTTCAACTACTGCTCCAAATTTACCATTTTTTTCAGTCCAAATTTTGTTTGCTATTGGTTGTAAACGTTCATGATTGGGTGCAGGCCATCTACATGTAGACTGGTTCCCTAGCCTTACAATTTTCCATCATCTATAAATTGATCCATTTTATCTTTTGTGGAGTCAGGGAACCAGACTACTTGAACATTTTTGTTTTTCTTGGTTTTTTCAACCTTTTTGAACACAAAACTTCAAAAATGTCAGTGTAACAATATTTGATCTATTATACTAACCCCTAAAATAGTTCATTTCTGAAACTTACAGCAAAACCCAATCATGTACATTCCCTTTAATGTACATGTACATTTTATTTACAGCACTCAAAGACCACGTTGGACTGTATTAACCATAATGCCAATCTATATGTAGCGAACAGGCTTTCTGGCTTTTTTCAAAGTACACATAAATTTTATATCATACAAAATACATGAACACGTAAATCACAGAGCTATATTAAATTACTTGAGCATTAACTCCTCATGCCCTTGCACAGAATAGGTGTGTACTTTCAAATGTGTCCTGGGCATCTAGACATCTCCAGAGAATGTGCGTTATCGAGGAACACAATTATACAAATTACCGGTAGATGGAATGGAATGAAATGTCACCGGTGATTTCTAAATGCGATGCCAGAACATCAAAAGTGCGGCTGCATCTAGATGGGGTTTCATGAATATGACAAAAACATTGAAGTGCGCATACACACACACTTGAGCACAGAGCGACATGGAACACTCGTTTACTGACTGTGCGTTTCTGTTTTGAGCGTAATACGTTTCTGTTTTGGACATATACCAAAGCTGTTCGAAATGTCGAGGTTTCCATAGGTTTGTGTATAAACATGGATACGCCCGGCAGGCTACGCTGAATTTATGGCAAGTTAGCTCCAAAATAGCTCTACGATGTAAATGCACCTCACTGAAAAAAACAACAACGCAGATTTGTGGTTGAGCTTCATATTACAAGTTTGTGACCTTGGCACCCACTGTGTGTATACTTAAAACTAAAATGTGAACTGTAAATGTATTTAACCCAATAGCACCTGTAGTACATTGTAATACATTGTGTTTATTCGATGAAGAATCAATACAACCATAGAGTGCTCAGGCTTGGGGTGCTATAATAGCAAGAAATAAGAAGGGCGTTTTGGGCACCACAAGTGACTAAAGGGTTAACTGTTGCACGTACCACCAAAAAAAAACAAAAAAAGTGTAAGACATCTCTGGTAAAAAAAAAAAAAAGACAAGGCAACCCCTAATAGAGCTGGTCCCAGAGTGCCCAAAGGTCTATTCAATTCGGGGGATTCACAATGTAGTGCGCCACCAAGAGTTTGCCATGGAGAGTCCATTTTTCAAGTTTACGGTCGACAAAACACGGCCCATTTGAACGAGTGTCAGTAGACAACTTGAGCTAATTTGTTATAGATTGGGGCATAGCGTTCTGCCGCCTTACAAAAAAAACACCATATTGATAAAAAGAAAAGAAAAGGGCAAACACATACTTGAATCATACCGGTACCCTTACAAAACTACTAACTGGAAAAAGTAATAATCTCAAATGTCCCACGCTGCGACTTTGTCGACCATCTCCCACAATGCACTGGGAAAAATGGACTCTCCATGGCAAACTCTTGGTGGCGCACTGCATTGTGAAATGCCCAAACTGATTCAGCATGGCTACTCACTGGAAGTTGTTTCATGCATATGGCCTACACAATGGGTCCGATCATCCCATTCATTGGCATGACAGGGTAATCCTATACAATAGCACTGCCCGGCTCACAAGCGCCAGTACGTCAGTGTGGTATAAACAGAATTATGAGCTCCGTGCGCTAACAAGCGAGGGGGCTTTTTTAACCACTGTTGAGTGCCATGGACGGGACACACCAGTGAGTGCGTTCTGGTTTGTGCGCATTATAGCTCGCAGTACGCGCAGTTTTGTTAATGCTAAATGTGCACAGAGCCATAGCGTCTTCACGTGAGCGTCAGGCATTGTCGGCGATGCATTTGAATGTCTCCCCCGATGGTCTCCCCCAACGCGCCCTGTTTTCGAGGAGGCACTTATGCACTGAGCCCACAGGCTAAAAAAATG